GCTTGAACCCGGGAGGCAGAGGTTGCGGTGAGCCGAGATCGTGCCATTGCACTCCAGCCTGGGTGACAAGAGTGAAACGCCGTCTCAAAAAACAAGAAACAGTGTTTTTGGAAAAAGTGAGAGACTGGGAGAGAGCTAGCGTTAAACAGTGTGAAAGTCAAAGTCACGCATACCCAAACCACCTTCCCACTTCTGCTGCCACGTTTTGTAAAACCTCATGTTCAGGCAGTTTCCTCTCCACCTATGTCTCTGGTATTTCCCTTGAAAACTGTTGCCACATGACCTAGTGGCCTGTCATCTTAATCAACTCGGCATACATTGAACACCCCCCGGCAGATATCCCAGAGGATTCCTTCATTTTGGCCATCCCTATGTCCAATTGCCATAGAACTTCCAACTCACAGAGTTAAATGATTCCAAGATTTTTTTTCCCCTGGTCCCAAGTATTAATCAGGTTCTATGCACTGCTTTTGGAGTCTGAAGAACTAGGGAAATTCCCTGGATCTGCTATTTAGTCTCTGTTATTTAGTGCAAGTAATTTAATTTCCCTGATTCTCAGTTCTTCTATCTGAAAAAATGGGAACTAGAACAATGTCCCTACGTATTTGACATAATTGATATGTCAAAAGTGGTAATCTGTACTAAAGTGCTTTAAAATTTGTAAAGAAATCATAAATGGCTGGGCATGGTGACTCACACCTATAATCTGAGCACTCTGGGAGGCCAAGGCAGGCAGATCACTTGAGGTCAGGAGTTCGAGACCAGCCTGGTCAACATGGTGAAATCCATCTCTGCCAAAATTACAAAAATTAGCCGGGCGTGGTGCCATGTGCCTGTAATCCCAGCTACTGAGGAGGCTGAGGCAGGAGAATCACTTGAACCTGGGAGGCAGAGGTTGCAGTGAACCAATCACACCACTGCACTCCAGCCTGGGTGATGGAGTGAGAGTCTTGTCTTTAAAAAAAAAAAAAAAAGCACAACCCTTGATGTCAAATAGACCTAGTTCTATACTCACGTGACATTTTTATTGTATGGTGTCTGATCAACCCATTGCCAATGTCGCCAACCCTTTGGATCTGACAGCCCCAGAAAATAAGCAGAATTTATTTTCAGATTCTGAGTGATGAAATCCTGAGGGAAGAAAACGGAAGAGTCATAGTTGATAGAGCAGGAGCACCCTCATCTCGGACAAACACCGCCATTTTAAGTTCCAGCTCCCTTTCTTGCCTCATGCATTTCAAGGAAATCACTTCCCTTCTGACCACAAGCAGACAGAAAGAGCAGACAGTAAAACACAGATAAGACAGCTCAGGCACAGAGGGAGGTGGGGGGAAAGTCTCTTGGGTAACTGCCAAGCTTCACCCTCATACAATGGGCCCCAGTAAAACAGTGGGCCTTAATAAGCACACTTCTTTCCCTTCAGGTGCACTAAGATAGGGAAGCTAAAAGCAGACTCGGGGGGCTATGCCTGCAGCTGCAGAAAGATGTATGGGAACAGACACACAACTCTCCCTCCCAGATAAGCGCAACAAAGAGACACAGAAGCAGTCCCCCAAGCCTCTGATAAACTCTCCCACCCCGAATCCTTAAAAACTCTTTGTCTGGGGCGGGCACAGTGGCTCATGCGTGTAATCCCAGCACTTTGGGAGGCCTAGGCGGGCGGCCTACATCAGGAGGTCAGGAGATGTAGACCATCTTGGCTAACACTGCGAAACACTGTCTCTGCTAAAAAAAAAAAATTTCGTGGTGGCGGGCGCCTGTAGTCCCAGCTCCCCGGGAGGCTGAGGCAGGAGAATGGCGTGAACCCGGGAGGCGGAGCTTGCAGTGAGCTGAGATCCGGCCACGGCACTCCAGCCTGGGCGACAGAGCGAGACTCTGCCTCAGATAAAAAAACAAAAAAACTCTTAGTCTGTAAGAGAATGTGCCCCTGACCTAACTCAGCCAGAGGCTCCTCTCAGGTTTATTTTCTGTAAAATAAACCTGCCTTGACTGGCAAGCTGCCTTTCATATTTCTTTCCTCTTTCTTTAATTCTTACAATAGCCTTTAGCGGGGACTCAAGTTGAACAGAGTTCTTATGGCCATAGGAAGAAAAGAAGAAAAGGAGATGACCCAGGAGTCGCCACAAAGGGGCCCTGTCCAGGAGCAGAGGCCTCTGGCTGAGCAGGGCTGGATCAAAGACATCACTTGAGAGCATGATGTTTGGCGTGTACAGGAGCATGCTCTAGCCGTGGTCATCATAAATCCTCATGTCACACTTGCTTTCCTATTTCTTTGCTAAGTGACGGCATTCTTCAAGGCTCTGCGTATTGTGAGGAAATTTCTCCCTCGCTCCTAATACAGTCTTCTTGTAAAGGGAGTTGAATTAGTGTATCTTTAGGTTTCTCTCTGCGCCCCACTCCCCTAGTTATTTATTTATTTATTTTTTGAGACAAGGTCTTACTGTCACCCAGGCTGGAGTGAAGTGGCGTGATCTCAGCTCACTGCAGCCTCAACCTTTCAGGCTCAAGCAATCCTCCTACCTCAGCCTCCTGTAGCTGGGATTATAGGCATCCACCACCATGCCCCGCTAAGTTTTGTATTTTTAGTAGAGACGGGGTTTCGGCCATGTTGCCCAGGCTGTTCTCGAACTCCTGGGCTAAAGCCACCCTCCTGCCTTGGCCTCCCAAACTGCTGGGATTACAGGCTTGATCCACCACACCCAGCCAGGAAAGGGTATTTTTATTTTTATTTCTGAGACAGAGTCTCATTCTGTTGCCCACATTGAAGTGCAGTGATGCAATCTCAGCTCACTACAACCTCCACCTCCTAGGTTCAAGTTATTCTCATGCCTCAGCCCCCCGAGTGGCTGGGATTACAGATGCCCACCACCACATCTGGCTGATCTTTGTATTTTTAGTAGAGGCAGGGTTTTGTCATGTTGGCCAGGCTTGTCTTGGCCTCATGTGATCCACCAGGCTCGGCCTTCCAAAGTGCTGGGATTACAGGCGTGAGGCACCGAACCTAGCCCCATATCAGTTCTTGATTGTCAGTTCTTGCAATTTAATTTTTTTTCGCAAGTCCTCATAATATTTCTTCTCTGTGAGGCAATTAATTGTTTCTAAGTATTTCTATATAACTGCATGTTATATAAATGATTGATAACAATGCTAGTATCAACACTGAATGTAGTGGGACTTCTACTTTACTTTCAATAATGGTGGACTAAGTAATTTGGACCAAACTTCTTGGCAAAATCAACTACATAAGCTGGATGAAACATGAAAAACTTTAATGTCTCAAAAGGTCACAAAATAGTAAAAATTACCAGGTCAAGAAGCCAGAGAGAATGAAAAGCAAGGAAGATGTGCCTGGAAATCATGGCCCCTTTCTCTCTAGGGAAAGTTTGCTGATCCAGAAAAGGCAGTAGAAGGGCTGAACAGCACATTCCTCCCCCGCCCCCGCAACCTCAGGATGCTAAAGTTTAAAAATTTAAAAGTTTTGTGTTGTGGTGGTTTATGCCTGTAATCCCAGCACTTTGGAAGGCTAAGGTGGGAAGATTGCTGAGGCCAGAAGTTTGAGACCAGCCTGGGAAATATAGTGAGACTTCATCTCTACCAAAAAATAATTAGGCCAGGCGCGGTGACTCACACCTGTAATCCCAGCACTTTGGGAGGTCGAGGCAGGTGGATCACCTAAAGTCAAGAGTTTGAGACCATGGGGAAATCCAGTGTCTACTAAAAATACAAAAATTAGCCAGATGAGGTGGTGGGCGCCTATAATCCCAGCTACTTGGGAGGCTGTCGCAGGAGAATCGCTTGAATCCAGGAGGCGGGGGTTGCAGAGAGCCAAGATTGCGCCACTGCACTCCAGCCTGGGCGATAAAGACTCCGTCTCAAAGGAAAAAGAATAATAATAATAATAATAATAACTGGGCTGGGCACGGTGACTCACACCTATAATCCCAGCACTTTGGGAGGCTGAGGCAGGTGAATCACTTGAGGCCAGGAGTTCAAGACCAGCCTGGACAACATGGTGAAACCCTGTCACTACTAAAAATACAAAAGTTAGCCAGGCATAGTGGTGCATGTCTATAATCCCAACTACTCAAGTGGCTGAGGCATGAGAATCACCCGAACCTGGGAAGTAGAAGCTGCAGTGAGCCGAGCT